TCGCTTCTAACCGGGACTGCAGCTTAACACAGAGTTCAGTGAGATCCGGCCTACGAAATGGCGGCGACCGTACAAATCCGGAGTTCCACTTCCTCATCTGCTAGCACACTCTGCCTCGCTTTCAGCAGCTGAAAAAAAAAACAATGAATCAGCGCACTGCGTATGGACACAACACATCTATTAAAGCACCTGAAAAATAGTCACCAAATAAAGTCTTACCCTCTTTCTTCTGGCCCGACTCCGAGCAGATTGCCTCCGCACACAGCGTGTTGGCTGGCTGCGTATATCTGAAGCTCCTGCGTACCGTCTGAAAATACGTCTTACAGGCAGCTGGAAAACAATGAAATGAGAGTGGTATAAATAAAAAATCAAATGCAAGTCACAGTAACAAGGAAGGAGAAAACATTAAAACAAGTCACTTACACACAATGTCGTCTTCATCAACATCGTGCAAATCTGGACTTGCTGTATGGCTCCGAGCAAATAGGAGGCCTGTGAAAACAAAATGTAAAGCTATGATCGGTATCTATCCGTATCCATTGCCTTTTACCGCAGAATGAAAGCATATTCTTTAAATCTTACCCTTGCTCCGGTTCATAGCGCCTGCAATTAGTCTCCGAGTTGTGAAGACGGCGTACTGCTTCCTGTGAATCACAAAAAATACACTTTAATAAAGCTTGTTCTTGCAAGGCTACTATTAGCGGTAGCTTAGGCTAGGCTACTATTAGCGGTAGCTTAGGCTAGGCTGCTTTTAGCCTAGCAGGCAGTAATCGAACATATATTTACCGCTAGCATCTCTTCTTTGAGTTCGTCTTGTTCGATGCAGAGTCGCCATCGCGTCCAAGAGGAGTTTTACCCCGAAATCCAGACGCTCCAGACCGCCTGCACAAAGCAAAGCATAAATCCTCCACTATGGCTGCTCACCGCGCCGCTCTGAGTTTCTTGGAGATCGTAGAGAGCATGCGCGAGATGAACCAGGGTTTCCGCGGATCAATAAAAATAATAAAAAAATCATTCCCTTTTTTTAAATCAAGGCCTTAATTGGCACTAAAATTATTTAAATATGTTTATCGAAGTATTTATAATTCTTTAATAAAAAATGCTTATAAAAACAATTTCGTCAGATATATTATATCACTCCAGGCGGAGAAAAAGCTAGAGGATATATATATACGTATATATGTGTGTGTGTGTGTGTGTTTACATACATACAGGAGTCATGGAACTCTGCTTACAGATCCTTCATATTTCATGTACACTAATAACTTGTGTACATGGTTCTTGTTGATAGCATTAAAATCATTTCGAATAGCATTAAATTAGAGTCACTCATTCCTGTATGAACCCTGTGAGCGCTTAATTTAATATGACATATTAAAAAAATCCCACCATCATCCAGCATATGTTCAGTTTCTGCCCAAATATATATTTATATTTTTGTAGATTTTTGTAACGGGGATAAGGAAAATTCAAAACTGCTTTTTTTGAATGAACTTGTTCTCTTCTCCCAAACATCTCTTTTCATTCCTGTAATAAGAAGTTTCTTTTGAATGGATTTGATTAAAGTTTAAGTCCCTCGGTATAAAATAAATATTTTTATGGAGATGAGAAATCTGCTTCCTCGTTGGTGAATAACCAATAGTTTGGATCCAATCATTTAAATAAACGGTGTTAGTTTTTTTTTTAATATATAAGAATTGTGCTATAATTTCTAGTCACCGATCTGTTGCTGCTATATTTTAATTTGACGAACCGGAATTTGTCGATGTTCTTTTTCCTGTTTGGTGCAATTGCAATTGCGGATCTTGACCTGGCCGGACCTTATGACCACAGTGCACCAATCTTCTGATGGCTACTTCCAACAGGATAATGCGCCATGTTATAAAGTGAATCATCTCAGACTCATTTCTTGAAACTTTTCCACTTAAGTTATTGTGAATTGAGCATATTGACAGACAACATTTTATTTTTTATCTTAAATGCAATTTTTTTTTTTTTTATAATTACTGCTCTAAATGTATTGCTCTGTCAGCTAAAGATCTGTTTTGGTCTCTATACTTTAATTAAATAAATCAATTCAAGCTAAAATGTAAGAGGCTATACTGAGCCTGATCTCTTTGTATCAGAGATTTCTTACCTTTTAGAAAAATTTCACTTGGAGTAAAACCCCCCCTGCAACCCTGATTTGCATTTGTATAGCTCACAGCATGTTCATTTACATGTTAAAGCCTCCCCTAGAATTCCATGGGGGGGAGGCATGGGGGGAACACTGCCTAACAAAGTCCACGTCAATTTCTGACAATTTACGGGAGTTTTCGGCGAAGCCTGCAAATTGTCGTAAACTGCCGCTAACCTGAAGTTCCACGACAATCTACAGTGCCGCATATTGACGAAAATCCCACTTTTCATGCAGTGGCTGCTGCCAGAGTAATGCTGATTTTGTATGAGTCTGTTGAGGTAAAGTGGGAGCTGTGCCCACCCTTACTTGTGGTCATGAAATCTCGGTCATGACTATAAGAACCGCTTCTTAGAACTCTAAAGAGTCGTCATGCACTAATGTAGCGATAAGAGATGGGTTATGGAGATCAGCCATCTTTAAGGGGCTATTCCCCATTGAATGGAGTCAGCTCATGTGGCTCGGGCATTTGTTTTAGATGCCTCCTGGAAACCTCCAAGGTCATCCCAGGGAACTACCCTGGACACATCAAAGTAACCAAGGGACTGGCATTAGAAACCTTAGAAACCATTAGAAATTCTTTCTAAGGCTCGGACCCACATGCAATGAAGCCAAACAGAGAGACACAATATAAAAGTTCAACGGGTTTTATTGAAGGGTATATTGAGTTTGGCACAGAGTTCCTCCGAACTCTGCTCAGCCGGAAACTGGAAGATGAAGGGGAGACTGTTAGGTTCAGGCTCAGTGGGAAATTTGGAGTTGTCAATCTTGAAGGAGAGGATTTGTTGCCACTCACGTTTCCAGAGAAGTAGAGACACTTAGAATTCAGTCTGTGTGATGATCTCCAGAGAATGTTTGATTCGGTGGAGGGCAGAATAGGGTTTACCCAGAACTCAGACGGACTTGATTGATGTAGCCGCTGGCTGCGACTCAGTTTTTCTGTGGTACTTGAACGGGTCGTGGTGAAGATGACTTCCTTACTCAGAGAGACCTCAGTGTGCTCAAAGGTGGCTGGATCCAAACCTCCTGTTGGGAATCCGTCGCTCAGTGTAAGACTCAGTTGATCCCACTTGGGAGAAGGCGGTCCAAAAGGGTCCAGTTTGCAGGAAGGCTTCCTGCCGAAAGGCAAAGAACAAACAAAGTTGAGACTCAAGGAGAAACAAGCGCTCAGTAAAACTCTATGAGATCTCAGCTTAACTAGAGAGCAAAAACTCAAAATGCAAAACTCAGATTAGACTCAGAATAAACAAGGTTTGGCTAGAGTACCCCAAACTGGCAAACACTCTGGGGTTGAAGTAGTGGCAACCAGCAGCCTAAGAGCAGTCTGGTGATGAGATAAACGCTTGCAGATGCGTGAGGAGGCGAACCGGAGCCAGGCGCCTCCTGGTGGTGGAAGGGTGAAACACAAAAGACAAGACAAAAACAAAAACAGGGATCCTGACAGAAACTTTTACCAGAGGTGCTGGAGGAGGTTTTTGGGGAGAGGAAGTGTGGGTGTCTCTGCTTGGGCATCTGTCCCTGCCCCTGTCTGGGGTAAGGAAGATGACTTGAAGATGAGTAAATAAATATTACCTTGGCCCTGAAAAATTACCAGTATAGATCGGAGTAGTTTTGATGTGCATTCATCATCCCCTTAAACACTAGTATTGATGTTATACTCTGAGATTCTAAGTTATTATTTAAGGAGAACCTTTAACTAAAATAATGCTAAATGTAATACCTTGTGGAATAATGCTATGCATTTGGCTTCATGCAAACAACTGTATTCTATTAATGAATGATGGTGTCATGATCTTGGCACCATAGGCTGGGTTTTCCTCTTACCTGTTTTGCTCCTTCCCGGCCTAATTATCTCTTATCAGATCCACCTGTTTCTTCTCCTATTTATGCCACCAGTTCCCAGCCCATGGTGCCAGATTATTCAAGCTTTCAGCGAGTCTAGTTCTAGCGTTTCTCTGTGTGTTCTGCCTGATATTGACCTGTTTCTGCCCACGGACTTCTGAGTTTTGGCCGCCCCTGCTCTGCTCTGTTTGTCTGTTCTGTTTCTCTGGATTCTACCTGTTGCCGACCTTGGACCCGTCTTCTGACCACGGCTTGGATTATCCCTCCTGGATCCCTCGTTTTCTCTGTGTGCTCTGGCTGCTGCTGGTCGCTGCTCCTCTTTCCTTCTGGATCTCTGGTTCAGGCTCAGTTACACGCTGCGGAGCTCAGCTCCTCCGGACCTTAATCCTCCTTCTGAGCTAAGACCGAACTTTGCCAGGTTGGTGACTTTCAGCTCATTATAATTCCCCAATTGAGCTTCTGAGATATTTATCTGAGTCCATATCCCCGCAGCGAATCCAGTGAACCCGCGCCAGCTGATGAGCAGCCGCACGCAGTTTGTTTAATAAACTCATTTAAAGCTTCACTGTCTGTCTCGTCTGAATTCTGGGTCCAAACCTCTGAGCTCCTGACAGATGGTTATATGGACAAAGCTTTACCTTCAAAAGATTGTGGGAAAAGCTTTATTTTTGACATCTTATGATGCTTTTTTTAATTGAAGTTAATGTTTTAAAGTTCATTAATACGTACCTCTGGTAATTTACAGGTTATGTAATAAGGGAAGTTGATACTGTAATACATGAAGCATACGCAAAACAAAATCAAGAACTTCTGAAGAACAGGTTTTCTTAAATTGTGGCCTCCCATTATCATACATGACTGGATCTGACCCTGTATAATGATAAAAAGTAAAAAAAAATGTACTTAGATTATTCATTGTTATTTCTTGAATCCATTTTGAGAAATGTAATAAATAAATGTTTGTTTTATTCAATTTAATTCAGTTTATTTATATAGTGCCAAGTCATTTCTAGGCACTGTACAGGGACAATTCAACCAGATCATACAGTCAAAGTGATTCAAAGTTTTCTATCTAAGGAAAACCAGTTGATTGCATTGACTCATTTACTTGAAGGAAATCCCTCAAACCAAGCATGCTTGTAGCGACAGTGGAGAGGAAAAACTTAATCTTAACAGCAAGAAACCTACAGCACAACCAGGCTCAGCGTTATGAATATAAATAACCCATATAAAAATGATCCTTGAATTTATTTCTCCTTTAACCTCAGTCACCCTAATGTTTACAATGTTTAGACAATGGCATGCAATAAACAAGCTGAAACTGACTAGTGTTTCCATTATTTTGTTTACACAATGTGTGGTGACTAAAGACGTATATACATTAAGAATTGAAATAAAAAGAAATTAAAATTAAATTTTTTAACATCCCTAACAAAAAAAAATGAAAATTGGTCAGGATCAGATTCAGGAACCTAGCATCTCTCATGCTAGCCCTAGTTTGGATCCAATCAACATAATCTAGCATAATGTAGTAATGTGAAAGAGGCTAGGGAACCAAAGGCAAATCTTGATACTGCCTGTTTGAAGTCAGAGTGTGACAGAGCCTTTTAGTATTTAAAAATCAATAATGTTCAAAACATTTATTCAATATTGTAAAGACTGTCTTATTACACTATTTTCCATAATACCCATTCAAGCATGCAACCGAATTTATCTACTTTTGTTTTGTTAATGATTGAATCTGTCATCCAAACTGTTGATTAATTTGTCCTTTGTGGGTAACTGCATTTTATACAGTTCTAAACTTTTTCTTTTGTTCCCCAGCAGTGGGACAAATGTAGGACAAAACAACATCAATCATATTCTTTATTATAGGAAGCTGTGGATGGAGGCTGTGTGGCAGGCTGTGGGCAACAGTCATCTCCCAGGCATCCACCAGTCGGACATTCACCCCTTTGAATACTGCTCTGAGAATCTTGTCACGCTGTAGGGAATACCAGTCACTGTTGGTCAGTGTCTCATAGAGATTTGGTGTTTTGGGATTGGCTGTCCTGATGATCACCAGTGTCCCCGGAGCTCTGGTCAACAGTTGCACCACTGCCCTCCTTATATTTAGCAGACGTCGGATGTAGACCTCAACAGGGAAAGTGCTGAAGTGAGACCAGATGCCAATAACTATAACAGTGTTGGTGCCTCCAACCAAACCTTTCAACTCATTGGCAATAAAACGTGTCTGACTGATCATTAAATTCGTAAAACGAATAGGAGGACCATGGCAGCGGAATGTAACCATGATTTTGTTTTTATAATCCAAGGCTAGAAAAGGTCCTGTTTGCTGTGGACTTTTCAAGTCAAACTTCTTTAGATCTAAAAATATTACAGAAAAAATAATTAGACATGAACATTAAACATAAATGTTACTGGACTTTTCTCCTGGGCATTTACCTGGGGTTCTTGTGATTAAATATTCAAACCACTGTCTGATAGTGGAGTCTCCATACAGGTGAACCATCTTCCCTTTCAGACAGCTGCTAATAGCTGTGCCATTGTTAAACTGATTTACAGTGGTGCCATCCAGTGCTCGCCATTCACCTTTGTAGTAATAACCAGCAGGTTTGGTCTTCATGATTTCATTAGTTTGACCTGGAAGAGAAGATAAGTTGAAGTTTCCTTCCTTCCTTCCTTCCTTCCTTCCTTCCTTCCTTCCTTCCTTCCTTCCTTCCTTCCTTCCTTCCTTCCTTCCTTCCTTCCTTCCTTCCTTCCTTCCTTCCTTCCTTCCTTCCTTCCTTCCTTCCTTCCAGATATTAAAAAGTATTTTATAGCCTCTAATAGGTAGAAAGAAAATCTTACCTTTTAGTGACGGCAAAATGTTGATGCTTGCAGGTCCTGATGGTGGAACAAAGACTTTCATGTTGATACCTCTTTAAAAAAAGCCAAAGCAGAGAAAATTTTAGTTGCAATGGAATATAACATCAGATGACATCCATATTGTCATGTGTTCAGCATAAAAGTCATTTTTCTATTTCCGTAAATGATTCAGCCATCTGTATGTTTCTGATTAAGACTTTCACTTGTCCCTGGTAGTTTTACAGTAACCCCCACTATTGAGGGGCAGTGTGATTTCTTGGAAATTGGCACTTCAAATCACTTGAAAGTCTTTGGAAGATTTACCTACAACTTATTGGGGATCTAACAATACATAGACCTATAAAATCACACTGAATAAATGACTTATCTATAAAACGTAAGGTTCACTAACTGAAATGAGTAAAAACATTGAACACTTGTTCTGTTTTATTTTTAAATTCCCCTGAAATAAAGGAAGAGAAGAAAGAAAGTGAGAGAGCTGGGGTAAAACTTTGGAAAAGGGCGAGAAGGGAGTAAAATCAGAGGATAGAAAGAAACATAAAAACACATGAAGATGATAACAGAGTCAAGGACTTCCATAAGTCAGTTAGTGCTAACAGCTGGGCTTGGCATTAAATGACCCCAGTCCAGAAAGAGGGAAAAAAAATACAAAGATATTACAATTTGTGTATCTGTACAGCCTAGGAAATGAAAGTAATCATGTAGTAGCCTACAATGTTCTACTCTTTTAGCTTAGCAGACTCATTATTATAACATTATTGCACTGCCAAAACCAGTCACCGGTTCTATAGCTCAGATAATCCCTTGTTGCAGTCACACGTCGCTGCCACAACAGTCCATACCAGAAGTTCCTGATTTTTCTGTTTTGTTTGATATTTTTCTTTTTCAAATCTTATTCCTTGACAGTTTGAGAACATCAAATGTACATGACACACAGAGAGAGTTTGAAATATATATTTTACTCGTCATTAAATGATTGTGGTATAGTCTCTTAAATATCATAGACCTTGAAAGCAGCTGATTAAGGCGTGTAGCATGCTTTTTTGCCATAAACAGCCTGAGAAGGATTCTAGTGTCAGAAAGTAGAGAGAAGCTGGTGCCGGTGGAGTAAGTGTCCAGGTTCTTATCAAGGAGCTAGTCACAGGAGATGCTATCAGGAGGGATGCTGCTGGCTCTAGGACCAGGAGGCAATGTGCAACTTGAAGCACAATAGATCAGGACATTTTTTGTTTCACCCTCACAGAACAAATGCAATGTGTTGGGAAGCAAGGCTGGTTGATCTGTAGGGTCTGTCACTCAAAGCCAACCCCAGAGCCCAGAAGCAGGCTTTGGACGTATCCTGGCTGTGTGGTTGAAAGTTTATATCTTCTCTGGGGGAGAAGATCTGCAACAACAGGAATCAATTCTGGGAGAAGTGTTGACCAGCTTCGATCCCAACAACTGCGACTATTCCTCCCCCTCGTAGCTTTGCATTAGCTGCTTTCTGCTCTGCCGACAGACATACTCAAAGAGAGTGATTACGTCAATGCCTGTTAACTGATCTTACTGGTGGTCTGATCCTATGTGAGGATATTTAGGGGAAAATAACTAAAGCAGTCATTAGTCACCACCAGGGATAAAAAGCTTTTTTCTTGACTTTAGGTACAGCAGATGTTGGCTTAGCATCAACACAGTCTTGATTTCTTTGTATTTATCAGAAATTTAATGGAAAAAATTAAGATGCTAAAGAAAAAAAAATACAGAATAGAGTCTATCTACAGAGAGCACTCAGAGGTCTATTGCATTAAAAAAAATTTGATTAAATATATAACATATATGCTTCAACCTAATGTTAAAAAAGACGACCAAAAGAAGATAAAAAATTCTGAAAATGTAACTACCTTTCCATGAGGACTTCTGGTATGGACTGCATATATGACAGCGCCCTATGACTGGTCCCTCTCGGTCGGAGTGTTTTTGTAGTTACATATCTCAAAATATTTTAATCTATTGTGAATTTTTTATTGCAAAGTATAAAGTATACACTTAACATTACACTTACTTTTGAAAGAGCAGCTCTTCACTAGGTTCTATTTTTTTTTTGAAACCTCCTTTGGAATGGGTGATTCTGTTGGCACAGCTCAATTTCTTTGGTTTGTAGCAGAACCAGGGCTCCCCTGTGTAGATGTCAGTGTAGTTGCACAGCTTTTGTTTGGGAGCCTCAAGGCACACATTGCAACTAACAGTTTCGGTTGTGGAGCCTGAGCGAAATGTGCTTTTAAAGTAAATTCTGTCAGGCTGCTCTTGTGTCAGTTTTTCCAAAACCGTGACCGCCTCGCTGGGATGATCAAGGGTCACCTTTTGGAACAACAACAACAACAAAAAAAATAAATGTATTAAGATAATTGAAATATGATTTTGCATCTTAGAATATTGTCCAATCAAAACTTGTCACCTGACATGCGTTCTAATGTTGGTTAATATGCCCATTGCATACAGATGCTGGTCGTATAATTAGAATATAAGGGCCTTGTCACACCATGGCGATCTAGACAGCATATACCTGACGTCCCAGAATCTCCTAAAATGCTGGCTTATGGTGAGCTTTTGATGTAGCTTTGTACGTATACATAGAGTATTCATAAAGAGTCCAGAACTTATGTCCAACGACAGCCTAACTTATGCATGATGCACGGCAGTGTAATGCACATGAAATGATACACAAGTATTATATTATCGTTATTACGAAGCATCAGTTAAAGCTGCTCCCCTCAGGCACATCGGAGCTTCTGAGGGGAGCAGCAATGAGTTGGGTGGTGCAAAAAAATATGTCTTTGATTGTGGTATTAGCCTAGCTGCTGTTTACCGCAACCCCCCCCCCCCCCCCCCCCCACCCCCCCCCCCCAAAAAAAAGAATAACTATATAAAGAAAAAGAAGAGAGAAAAGGTTTTCAGTCACAGCAGATTCAGCGTCAGCTCTGCTAAGAATTTTGTTGGTCGTGGCCGTGGGCGTGAACGCAGGGAGGATCCATCACACTCACCTTCTTGCTCACCCTTGTTTTATACCAAAACTCTACTATACAATAGGTGCAAGTTATAAATACATTCACTGGTCATCTAAAATACGTCAAATACATTGATATGCGTTGGAGTTAAATTCTTGATAAGTTATGCATAAGTTATGCACAAGTTACTCATAAGTTTTGGATAAGTTGGACACCACGACTTATGAATAACTTACATTTAATGTATGTCAATGATCAGATAACTTACCTGTAACTTGTGCCCCTCGTATGAGCATACGCTGGCATATGTCGGGAAATTTTGTGCATGCTCAAAATTTCCCGACACGTTGATATACTTTCTGTATGTCAACGTGTGCCAACGTGTTACAGCTAATTCAGCGTGCTCATAACTTATACAAAATGTACCCGTAACCTATCCAACCTGTGCCAGCATGTTTGCAAGATTTTTCGTACAGGGGGTTAAAAAAACACCTTAATTTTAATTCATGTTAATTTCTTTATTTCGTCTCAAAAAGTAAAACTTGTCTATTATTTCTATTATTGCACAGAGACTGCTACTGGACGTATATAAGTTGTCTTTTTCTACTAATTGCACCCCCCCATCCTATACTGGAAAGAGGAACACAGAGTGTTTTGTTTTTCTTTTTTTTTTATCAATAAATATGCTATTTTTTTTGTCTTGGATTTACTGTGTACAGATGGTATGCTGTCTGATTGCGTTATTTTGTGCCTACTTGCGTAGATGTTTTCTTTTTAAGAATGATATTCTACTATTGTTTTTTCTGATGGTCCAAATATTTTTGCATTTGACTTTCAGAAGTACTAAAACAGGTTTGAAAAATCGCCTGCTGCATGGTAATGTACATTTATATTTCCTCTGCTGATGGATTTGTGCAGTTTGGTTATGAATATGATCTGTATATGGATGAAGAACCAAATATTTAAAAAAAAGCATTTTGACCCAATGTCTGCTGTCTTTCTGCATATATAAACATGTTTGCACTTACTTTAACAAACCTTCTGAAGATAAGGCCAAGAGACTTTTGATAAGTTGTTGACGAAAAATATGATAAATAACATCATTCTTAAGCTATTATTAAATCAAGACAGTGGCAATCTGGAGTGGAGTTTATAAATTTTCACAGGGCAGTCGTTGTTTGTTGATTATAGAAATTCCCCATAAATTGTTGAAGTATAACTATGGTTGGAAAGCCTACTTTCCTGTTGTAACTCATCTTAGCTGTATATTGCACTTTCTATAGAGAGACCAAATATGTATGCAACTGGCAACACTGAAAAAGCAGGCCTTAGCTAAGACACATTACTGCAATTTATTCTTACCTCAACTTGTGCACTTCCTTCCCAGAGTAAAGAGAAAACAGCAGTGTAGGAACCATTGTGATGATCAAGCACTGTTCCTACTACACCTGCAGAAAGAGCAGGATTGTGCAACCGAGCCAATAGGACATCTCCATCAAACTTCTTGGGATAATCTTGAAAGTCATGAATATTTATCAGAACCTCTAACTGATCCCCTAAATGCCAACTCCCTCCACCTTTCCTCAGTAGAATAGTAAAAGTGCTTTGAGCTGGATCACTGGTGTCATTTAGAGAAAAGTTAGATAATAAAGATGGTGTTGTAGGCCAGGTGATTGACTCCTTTAACATGTTTAACTCTAATGCATCTTCAGGGGATACAGAATGATAGGAGCAGACACCAGTAGACTTGGTAGGCTCATCGGGATGCATTAGAGCTTCATCAGTAGGAGTCGGCATCATGTTGGAAGCAACCATGGTAGTCTTCAGAGTCTCAACAGTGGGTTTTGAAGCCAAAGTGGTGTTGAATTTCTTCATTATCTAGAGGTGAGAGTAGAATTTGAGCAAATCAAGTGTTCTTCAATCATAGTTTCAGCATTAGATTCTAATTAATTCAATTATTGGGATCTCTCTCATGATTTAAGAGTTTTGTATAGGAACAAAACACAGATAATACTATCTTAGTTGCATTGTGAGCTAAGGGATTTAGGAGGAAATGAGAAGCACATTTTACAGAAAAACTTAAGGAAACAGGACATAAAGCTTAGGCAGTAAATCAACCATACAAAAAAGAAACTGTAAAAACGAAACCAGAGAAGCAAATCACTGTGGATCAATGTGGATCAGTTGATGAGACAGGACAGCTTAGTAAGAAAGTCAATTAACACAGGGAAGCTCAGGGATTTAAACAGATCATCAGCCAAAAAATGGAAAAACCTGTACTGAAATAAAGGCTTGTTCATTTTAAAACTGTTACTAAATCTTACTGAGTCTCTGGAAAAATGTGAAACTGGTGTACATAAAACTATGTATTTTAATGATATGTTTGATTAATGCTACGCTATTTGTGAAAAGATAAACAAAATGTAAAATATTTTAGATACAATTATTTACAGCAGGATATGCTATATTTCAAAACCCATCTATTTCTTTAAGTATTTTCTTTAAGTACAAAATATCCTCTTGTGATCACCTCACAATACAAAATACAAATGAACCTCGTCCAATAAAATTAAATCCTACTATCTGTAGACAAAAAAAATCTCAGCAAAAAAACATCGAAAACAAAATGGGGAGTTTGCTTTTAAAATTCAGTGCAATATGAATAATGTCTATTGAGCATGACAAAAAAGTAAACAATCAAATCAAATATTTTTTTTTATTATGATCTTAGTGCTGATGACTGGCCAAATGTTCAATTCATTACCTGTCTAAATCTGCCTGGTTCCTCATTACTGCTCATCTGATACACCTGCTCCTGCCGCAGTTTAAGCTGCTTGCTCTCAGTCATCAGTGCCACATTATTCTTGAGCCTTTCGTTTTGAAATATTTTCTAGTGTAACTGTTTGTGTTCTGATTACCTGATCCTGACCCGTTTTGCTGTTGGACCTTTGAGTCTGCCTGTCCCTGTTCTGATCTGTTTGCCTGACCTGTCTTTGGACATCTGTCGGATTCTTCTTGTTGACTGAACCTGGATCTGCCTACTGACTTATACCTGGATTATCCTGCCTTACTTCCTCTGCTTTGATCTAACCTCCTGTCAGTGCTGCTGCCTTCTATGCTTTATCATCTGGAACTCTCTGGCAGCGTCCTCTGTGTTTTGTCAGCCGACCCGCTGGAGTCATCCTCGTTCTCTGGGCATGGACTGTCACAAGAGTGACACAATTAATCTCCGCTCCGCTTCCACTAGAGCCCAGATTCCTTCCCCACTCAGCCAGCTCGCCCCAGCGTTCACCTGGCTGTTTGATCCTCCTCTACTACAGTACAAGCCAGCAGTATATCGCCTTGTGCTGGCCTAGACTCTTCTGAGGTGGCTCAGCTCACTTTCCCTTCTTCCCTATGGGGAATTTCTCCATCTATTCAACCATCTTCACAGCCTCCTTTACCCCTGTCCTTGGGAAATGCACCAAAAAGACACCAGCCTCCCCCTGCCAAGTGCTACTGAGGCTGCCTTCCCTCCGGTCCAATTCCTCCTTTGCCTGAGGCCACCTCGGCTCAGTCCATTGCCTCCTTGCCTGAATCCATACCAACCCCCATCCACCGGACGCCCCACTCCTCTCCTTCATGGCCTTGCTTAATCACTGGATCGCCTCACATTCTTCACATCTTCTGTCCATCACAGCTCCTGGCCTTTCTGCTTCCACTCCTTCAAAGCACATGACTCAGTCATGTCCCGGTGTGTTCACTCTCGCAGATGCTGAACTCAGACCATCCTCAGATGAGACAGATTTTTTTTCGGTTTCTTCCGTCACTCTCAGACTCCTCATTCTCATTCATGCTTCTGCTCTCTTTCATTTCAGACAGGGCCCACATACCCATTCACTCAAAAATCTTCCAGGCAATACATTAATCTGGTCTCTCCCATTTTCCCCTCGCCTAAAGTCGACCAGCACGTCACCTCAGTCACCTCGATTTAAGCACGGCTGCAACCTATTCTATCTTTATAATAAGTTGTTTTTCATGCAAGGCGATGTCAGTCCTCAGTGTTTAGGGTTCTGCGTCTAGACTGGTTTGCCCTGGACACCGAGCTACTTATTGTGCTTACCCAAGCCATTACTTGCACAGCGTGCGGTACAGCAGGCCACCAGAGCTCGCTCTGTTCATCCATTCGGTTCCACTCTGTTCCTGCCAGGCCCCCATGACCATCCCTGTGTATCCTTGATTGGGTCGGTCACACAAGACCCTTTCAGGTATTTGATTCTAGAAACCTTTTTCAATAACTTTGATGAGTCTGTCAGCACATTTCCCAAATTTATTTTTCCACACATGCAGCCTGTGAAAGTAAGCCCATCTGAAGTAGACCTGCCCACGCTCTACCTCCCTTGTCAAAAAAGGTTGTGGCTCCAGGAATTGGTCTCCTGCAAAATTTCCACGGTGGTTGCTCTGGCCCTGCTCCTTCTGATCACCCCGATCACTGCCTTATGGGTTTCCTCCTCTACCATATTTCTCAGGGCTTTTTCATGGGTACTTTTTCTCCCCTCGCCTTGTCCTTTGTCTGCTCCAATCTTAAGTCAGCACTTTCAGAGCCTGATGTAGTGACCTGTCTGCTTCTTAAGGAAGTATCTGTTGGCTACATGATTGGTCCTTTTAGTTATCCTCTGATTCCTTGTTATCCCCCTAGGTTTGGCCACCTGCAAATACCTTTCCATCCCTCATCTAGGTCAACACCCTAGTATCAACTCTTTCATTTTCCAAACCCCCATTTCTCTGTTCTACACCTCTGGCAACCATGCCATCTCGCTCATTAAAACAACCAGGTGAGGTACATGGTTCGCCACGGCCGACATCCCGGACATGTTTAATCCCATGCCGGTCCACCCCTCCCAGTGGCACCCTCTGAGAGCTTAATCTAACAGTTTGTTCTATTTTGCTGTACATCTCACATTTGGCTGTTGAATTAGCTCCTACCTATTTAATAAATTGTCCAAAGATCTGTGTTGGATTCTTCTTAATATAATAAAACTGTCTGTGGCCCTGTACCTGCTTAACGATTTCTTGCTCATAGATCCCCCCTCTCTTCTGAAGCTCCAAGGGGGTCTTTGATCAGATTGCCGTAGCTTTATCAGAGAAAAAAAACAACAGGTCCTGCAAAACAGCTTGGGTTTTTGGGCAACAACCTTGACTCTGAATCCATGGTCTGATAATTTGGCCCATATCCGAGAGAAATCAGGGCCTCACCTGTCCTACTTGGTCCTTACTAAGCGTCAGCTGCTCTTTCTGGTGCTGGATCATATAAACTTGCATATGGGTATCATTCCCCAGAGTCGGTCTTTCAACACTCTTGCCTATTCCATTCCCTTTCTGCATGATCCCGTCACACTAGACAAAGGATGCTGTCCTGATATCACTTTTTGGTCTAATTTACTCTCTCACAGGAACAGGATCTCCTTCTACATGTCTCAACTTAAATTTCAGGTCTTCCGCCTCCTGTGTCCCTCAGCCGATGCTCTCCCTTCCACACTTCCTCCCTGGTTGGACCTGATAGTTAACTGGCTATTCCATCACTTCAGTTTTTTGCTTTCTATCCGAAAAAAACTATATTAAACTTTAGGGATGCACGATATAATCGGCCCCCTGTCGGTATCGGCCTGTATCGGCCTCAAAACTGAATATCGGCCACCCCACCGATATTTAACCCGATATTTGATCAGCTTCTGATTTTCTAAAGTCTAAAAAAAATAAATAAAAAATACTACTTCTTCTTCCTCAAAAACTTCTTTTTTACAGACTTAAAAACTTCTAAAGACGAGGGAAAAAATATTGATACATTAAAATATCACAATATCTTCATATGCTGATATATTGCCATTTAAAAACACCATATCAATCTATTTTACTAATTAAATATTGCTATATGTCATCGAAATTTTGCCCTATTTTTATATGTTGATATATTGACGCGGTATCGATCTATTTTACTAACAAAATCTCACAAAAATTTGCAAAATATCACGAGAGTTTGTAACAGAACGATGAAATTTCGTGAGATTTTGAAAGTAAAATAGATCAATTTGATATCAGCATATGAAAATATATTTGAGTATATTATTTTTCAAAGTGTCAGAAATGGATAACAAAACTGCTATTTTCAATGTCTACTCCTGCTTTAACATTTGTATCGGTATCGGTTATCGGCTACATGAGTTTTAAAATATCAGCATATCGGATATCGGCCAAAATCCCAATATCGTGCATCCCTATTAAACTTGGTCTTGCCCCTTAGACTCAAAACCCTATACAGTACATACTGAACTATATAAAGTTCAGTATGTACTTGACAGTACAGTATGACTTTTCAAAACCTTTAGCTCTACCATTGTGTGGCATCAGGTTTCAATTGTCAAACTGTCACCTACAGCCACATACCTATGCTTTTCAAAGGCTTTAAAAAGCAAGAACCTACTGCCATCAATCAGCACTTCTCACATCAGTCACCTCACCCTCTGTCTGAGCTATTTGTCACCTTCCATCAATATTCTTTAGAATACGTTACCTGTTTTCCTTCTCAGGCTTCTATTTTCAGAGGATCCTCCTTCCGCATTTAGGCAAAAATAAATCTATACATCTCTCTCTTAGAAATATTGCTATTCATACACATCTTCACTCAGAAAAAAAGGTAATTTTAGTATAATCAATCTTTTCATCAATGTATACATCCCAGGTCTATTTTTGTCAGACTAATCAGCAATTTCATGGGTCTGACCAGAAAAGAAACACAAAATGTAAACGTAAAATCTCTCAAGCTCTTTAAAGGCACTTCACAGGGCTGCTCTCTCAGCTTTCTGCTTTTTGCTGTTGCGCTGGAATCCTTTGCAGCACCTATGAGCAAGGCCCCCTAGTTTCCTGGTATTAGATCTATGGGAGCATCCATAAAATTATATCATATGCTGATGATGCCTTGGCACTGCTATCACAATTACGCCATTCTATATCCCCACTTTTAATAATAGTTGATCAGTTGAATGGACTAAGTCAGTGGCTGTCCCTATAACCTCCCATTGCTGAAAGATTCATTTAAGCCTGACGATTTTAGATGGCCAAAATCCGGAATCAGACATCTAGGAATTTTATTTTCCCACTGTCTTTTATACTTTTCAATCTAACTTTGAACCATTATTGAACACATTTAGATATGACTTAGAACAATTTTCTACTTTATATTTTTGCCTAAGGGGTAGAGTTAATGTTATTAAGATATGTGCCCTAGGGATGGGAATCGAAAACCGGTTCCTGTTAACAACCGGTTCCGTATTTTCCGATTCCATGGCATCGTTTGGCAGCTCACTGAACGATTCTTTTTTCGATTCCCGCAGCACCAGAGCCTAGAGCGCCGGCTCTGGGGAGCACGACTTACGTCACGTTTTTACGTAAGTTACGCAAGTTGGAAGAACTATTCGAGGAGGAAGACAACGAGCTGCGGTCACTTTGTGAATCAAAGCCCCGTCTTTCCTTAGCCCAGAGGGTAGATGAGGGAATCCAGCTCTATAAAAGCTTGCCCTCCATCCCCTGCAGGGATAGCGCCACACTGTGGTGGTGGAACAAGCAAGATACGCTGCCCTTGCTATCTGGACTGGCTGAAAACTACCTCTGTGTGCAGGCTTCCTCCACCCCATCTGAGAGGGTGTTCTCCACGGCTGGAGACACCATAAGCCCGGAAAGATCCTGTATCCTTCCAGAAAAAGCAGATATGCTCATCTTTCTGCAAAAGAACTGTTAATTTTCCCTACTACTGTTTTATAATTAGTATTTTTTGTTATTTAAAATAGGTTATTATCCCATCATTTGTTATTAGACATTGTTGGTTATTAAGTTTGTTCTTGTATATTTATTTTTCATTTAAACACAGATGTTACTCCAGTTTCACATTTCCTGTGGACATCTTGATCTTGTTGAGTTTGTAAGACTGTGCAATAGTTAAGTAAACAAAGTTGATTCTGATAATCAAACTGTTTGTTCTCCTTTTTCCCCCAAATTGGAATCGAAAAAAGAATCGATAAAGAATCGAATCGTTTCATAGAATCGAAAAGGGAATTGGAATCGTGAAAATCTTTTCAATTCCCAACCCTAATGTGCCCAAAGATTTAATTTTCTTCTGCAGACAGTTGACTACTTCTGTCAATGTGACAGACTCTGCAATAAATGTATATGGAATGGAAGAGCCCCAGAGTAATGGAGTGGAGGTTTGACAGGGCCCAAATGCATACACAGGAGCTTGAGGTGGTTACTTGAAGGTTTAATAACAAAAGTTCAACAGAAGCAAAAATCCAAAACATAAATCCACAAAATCCACAAAAAACTGAGAACCAGGAATACTTCCAAAAAGGGGGCAAATAAATGATGACAAACCAGCAAAGAGTGATTGAACAGGAGAAGAATAAATGGGAGAGAGAAGCAAAGACCCGGCTAATTAGCAGAGTGGAAGCAGGTGTGAATAGAGGCAAGAAGGGAGCTAGGGAGAAGGAGACTGACACATTAGGGCAAACAAGAAATATCTGAGAACTCAAATACAATCACCAATACCTAGAACACAAGAATCAAAATAACACCAATGAATCTCAGAGATAAAACTTAACACTACCCTCTGAAAACCAATCCATGCTGAGTTTGGAGCGAGCTTGGATCAGTTAACCGTGCCGAGCTCGGTATCTTGCGACCATTTACACATCATGCTAACACGGTTCCTCGCCTCCTAGTGATGATCTATGGTACTACTGCTCACTAGTAGGAAGTCTTTGTGCTTATGTTTTGTTCCGTCCAATATTGCATGGATAGGGTCCTCCAAATTGCAATAAGAGCCTCAGTCTCTGCGTCATCCCAGGTCAAACCAAGCTCTTTTAAAGCCATTTTCAAAAATGTAATGTTGTAATGTAATATTCTTCTGCTTTGTGGCAGTTGGCAAGCAATTTACTGATGTGCATTACCACCAACTACTGGAAGCTGACTATAAATAGAAGATGACGCGGTCTGCTAATAGGCTCTTTGTCATCAGAGAACCGAGCCTCAACTGAACCGAGCCCTACTGTTGAACTAGATCTAGTTTAGCGCAGTTCAGTTGCGTCTGGCAAGGTCCGGTTCAGGTTTGCATGTTTACACTCAACAGTTATCTAGGTTACCTTGCTCAGACTGGTCTCGTCACAGTTTTAAAAGGGTAGTGTAAATGGGGCTAAGACTTTAAAATGATTAATTCTCACCATGACTGATACTTTGCTCCTCTGATTATTGACATCCAAGTTGTACAGTGTGAAGCATAAAACACACAAGGTCAACAAAAGGAATATGAAGCCATACTTCATAAGGCAACGGCTTCTAAAACATTGGCCTCTGTTTGGCTGGAGTGGCTGGATCTCACTCTGCAAGACAAGGTAAAGGCAGAAAAATAATAGAGAAAATAATAATAGAGAAAATGTTTTATAAGCCTGCATGTATTTTGGGTAATCTTAATACAACCCTAACTTTCTATACTTTTTTAGACATGATATGAAAACAATTTTTTCCAAAAATTATCCTGACAAATTTTCTTATTCCTAAACCATGTTACTCAATGATTATGTTTAATTATTTTCATAAAGATCAAGATAAGCTTTCAAAAGTTGCTCTACCTGTCATGATCTGGCCTGCTTGGTCTCCCTTAATTGGTTATTTCTTTCACCTGTATTTTTTTCTCCCTGCCTCAATTATAATTTATTCCTCTCACCTGTTTCCTTTGGTTTATATTCTGTTCAGCCTGAGCATTCGCGGCCAGATCATTATTTGTTTTTCTGTTAGCCTGTCTATTACGTTGATTCCAAGCTTCTTGACCTGGATCCTGGCGGCCAGTGGAAGGGGGGTTTTGTGTCTGTCTCGTCTCCTGCTTGTCCACTGTTTCTCCCCTGCTGAGTCCTCAGGGTTCTTGGCTCTGTATGTGGGGAGGTTCAGTTTTTATCCAAGTAAGCCTGGCTCCAAGGTGGAGACCAGTTTAAAGGTCCTGCATCAAGTTCTGGTTCCACGTCCTGTCTCGGCTACCCTCATCCAATGAGCCTCCCCGTCTGCATCTGATCATGTCTGCTCCTGTGCATGACCGCCTGGTCACGCTTCCGGACTCTGTTGGACTCTAAACCTGCCTGGGAGCTCTACGATGCCTGGAAGCCTGGATCCTGCCTGTACTGTCTGTTCCTGTCTGTTCTGAATCCCTGACCAGGATTTGGCTTCCTGCAAGACCTCTGGGACTGCACCACTGGGGGTATTCTTAGACTGGACTGTTAAACCAGGTAAGTGACCAACTCAGATAATCATCTTCTGTGAGATGATCATGGTCACTTACCTGTGTTTCTCCCACTAACAGAGTGTCTGAGATTGGGCGGTGCCCCGCCCCCCACCTGCAGTCGCCGCATGCCACAGATCCTAGCAGCTCCCCTTTTAGTTTTGTTCTTCATTTAATAAACGCTTTGAACTTGCCTACTGACTGTCTCTCATTGAATACTGGGTCCATTTGTCCTCGTTTCATGACACTACCATTGTGTGGCATCAGGTTTCAGTTTTCAAACCGTCACCCACTGCCACATACCTATGCTCTTCAAAGGATTTAAAAAGCAATACCGTACAGCCATCAATCAGCACTTTTCAGATCTCCTCAGACACCACACCCTCCCTCTGGGCTATTTGTGTCCTTTCATCAAAAGATTTTAGAATCCATGTTTTAGACTTCCTTCTTAGACTTCCTTCTATGTTAGAATATGTTCCATCCTCATTGAGGCATAATAAGTCTATTTGTCTATTTTTTTTTAGGTGCCACCATTCATAGCTAGTATAAACTTATCTTCACTCTCAGAAATTATTTAGACTTAATCAATCTATTCATCCATGTCTATGTCCCGTTTTTGGACAAGGCAGGAATTTCATGGGTCTGACCGGAAAAGAGACACCTTTGCGAAGTAAAACATATTTTCTCTGGGGAAAAGTGTTGGAGGGAGTGTTGGCCTGGTAGTTAGAGCAGTGCACTTGTACTTTGAGAAGGTTGCAAGTATCTGGTTCTATTGCCAAATCCTGCATGCTGGGACCCTGAGCAAATGCCTTAACCCCACACTTCTCCCCAGGCGCTGCACGATGGCAGGCCACTGCTGCCCAAGGGGAAAATTTAAATGCAAATGTAAGTTTTTCCAGTGTGAGATCAATAAACTTCAATTATTATTGTTATCAAAATACAAAGTAAAATCTCTCAGTCACCATAGAATACAGTCAGGTTTGTTCTATTTGGAGCATGTTTGCAAAGCCTGGTGCTTCTGAGAATCCTAAGACTTTTGAGTGGCAGTGAAAAATGGGCTCATGCTTCTTTTTTTAGCGGTTGCTCAACAGCTTTTGTCTGGATGCCAGGCTGCAGAGGCATCACAGGCTAACAGTGCTGTGGATGTACCTTTCTTGCCCTGGCCCATGGTGATAGAGGACTTACTTGTCCATCCCTATAGGGTTAAGCCTTAAACACGCAGAATCTGATTTTGTATCCGATCCAACAGAAAATCATGTCGGATGAGGTTGTGGCATCTAGTGCTCATTGAGAGTCAATAGGGATGAACACATCCGATACAATTTGCTGCAGGTCTATTCTGCAGATCTAGTTTAGTCTGACTATACAGCAATTAAGAGGCTATTTAATGGGACTGACAGCTAGAGAGGCACGGTTACAAAGTACAAAACATCCGCTTTGGGGGAAATATGGCGATGGAAAAGAGGTTTGGCGTAGCACGGCATATACATAGCAGGCAAGTCATTCTCGAGCATAAACAATCTATGACACAGTTAAAAAAAATACTCATAATAGGAGGTCAGGAGGAGAGAAAACGGATAATGTGGTGATCCTCTTTAAAAGTATGAGGAAGAGTAAAGGAAAGTGCAGCTAATCACTGTAGTTGAAATAAAGAAAAAGTGTAGACAAACTTCAGGACAGAAAACCGATATAGTAAAGTAGGGGTGTAAATAATAATCGTTTTGTATCGATGCATTGATCCAAAAGCCGACGATCCGATGCATCGACACGTCCGCAAGATAATCGATTCATGTTTTTATTTTCCTCCGGTCTATTTTTATCCATTTGTTCCTGGGCGTAATTCTCCTCCCGTGCTGCGGTGGTGCTAAACCTATTTTGCCCTCCTACCTCGCTTCCTGGTTATACTCTTTCAGCAGTGTGTTGCAGCAAGCTTGACACAGACATTTTTAAATTATGCTCAATATTGAAGCCTGGTCTGTGCTACACGCTGTGGGTCTAGATACGGCCGAGGCGGCGAGGAAGTGGGGGCGAGTTTAGTCCGACGACGGAGGGACATGAGGGCCAAAAAGAGCGGAGATCCAGGTGGAAAAAGGGTCCCAGCGTTCTCGCGCACCTCACTCTTCTAGCAGGTCAAACTTCACGAGTTGTTTTCCGCAATTTCAGTCATAAAAACAAAACAAGCTGGCCTCTGCGGGACTGTTTGCGGTCATCTACAATTTGGGAGAGGACGTAGACACTCTGGAGCCGAGGTATTTCATTGAACTCATTGCAATGATTTTGTGCAGTATTTTTGCAGTATTTTTTTTATGCAACTTTTCTACTTCTGTTATTTGCTGTTGTTTCTAAAAAAAAATGCATAACGATATTACAGCTTTCATTGATTTATTTCAAACTTGAAACTTTGTTTAGCCTGTAAGGTGTAGAAAAAAAAAAAAAAAAAAAAATTTAACCGATTAATTGATTAATCGAATCGAATTGAATCGTGGTGTATTCTTGAGTATCGAAAATAATCGAATCGTTGGGTAAGGAAATCGATACTGAATCGAATCGCCATGATGGATGTGATTTACACCTCTATAGTAAAGTAGTGATCCTAAAAAAAAAAAAAACTAACGAAAGAGAGACAGTGTAGGTAAGGGCAGCTTAGCACTCTCCTCTCTTTATGAAAAAAGAAAAACAAAAACTTTGATAAACTTCACAGATCTCTCTTTTATAATCACCTTTCACTGCCTCAGCCAGCATATAAATTGTCCAACTGTATCTATTGCCTTATCTATTTTTACTTTTCTTTAAACATAGTCCTATTATATTTTAACATAGGCCTATAGAAATTATCTATCTGTTCTGGTTAAATAGATGCAGCACAGACTCATAAAGTGTGTTAGTTGTTTTTTTTTTTATTGTTATCTGTAATATTTAAAGGTATACTATGCAACCGGTGTTGATTTTCCAGCGAGGCTCCCCCCAGAGGGCGAAAGTAAAAGTGCACTGTCGTAAATATGCTCAGCTGTTCTCCTGGTTTCTCCGTTAAGCCAGGCGCGGTTGTTTTGAGTTTAGCAGACAGGCGAACGCAACGAATCACCATGTCTACTGCGGTAAGTGACTATTTTGTTCCAATTTTCGAGTTTGAAAATTTCGCTGTTTTCTCGCTGGTTCCGCCATGATGACTGCACAAATATTGCCACTGCGCTAGCAACGAGCATGCCTTTCACTGGAGGCGTGTAGCAGTTCTCGCCGTAAAGCAAAACCGACTCTCGCGATGCACAAGACTTCTGAGCCTGTGGGTGCGGGCCGAGGGCTCCTGCAGTTGCAAGTATGGTATTTCCCCTACAGACCACCAGTGCGGCCGAGAAAACCTTTGTTCGACCTGAAATGACTCATTTAATCATCCAAAACGTTATGGAACACATTAATTAACTGAAAAATGTTGCATAGTATGCCTTTAATTTCATAATCTGTTCATGTCATTTAGGGAATTTTTTTCAATTTGTGTGGGACAGGAACAGAAGTTAAAAAACATCTGCGCAGATCTACTCATCCTGCCTAGTCGGAGCCTCTGTACACAGTCAATGTGACATGGAAAAAAATCAGATCGGAAATGAAAAAGTTATACACAGCCGATGTGACCCGGCCTTTAGTGATGTGTCACAAGGGCATGGTCACCACAAATGGATCTTGCACAGGTTGAAACACATGAAATGTACCTGTCTATTGAATCAGATTTTCAATGATGCATGCATTTGTATAACAGAGAGAAATCAGATACAGTCGAGGCGTTGTATTACAGATTGCAGAGGAATTGTAAATATAAGTGGCAATTTTCTGATTCTACTGATTTATAAAATCTAATCAAACAATATCATATATGGATGTCATCATATAAAGCAGGAGCATGCAGATCACCTGTTTTGAAACAATTTTCAGATGGATGGAGGGACGGAAAGACAGACAGATAGTTTCCCAGACATAGGAGAACAGAGTGGATTAATGATGTTGATAATGCAGAGTGAATCTCATAACTGAAACCAAATTTTAAAACTGCAAGCTGATTTTGGTGTGAATGTAATGATAGAAATGTTAATGAAAAATGTGACATCATTATTTAGAGCAGTGTCAGACACTGTGTTTATATTACTATTACACTAAATTACTCTGTATACTAATTTGAATATAGAATTAACTGATATCGGCCAATTCTATATTCAAATTAGTTCAAATTGGCTCTTGTTGATTATTTGTTCAGCCATTATTTACAGCAGTGGGGCTGGTAGTATCAGGAATATTTGCATTGTGAGTATATATGCATGCATTTGCATTGAGTGTATAAATAACAAATTTGCAGATGGGAGGTGAGCTGCCAGGACAACACACAACTCACGGAACTTGCATTGTTAAATTAATAAAGATTTTTTCTTTTATCCAAGACTAATGCTCTAATGGTTTTAATGTCTACACTTATTCCTAGCTTGAGGCACAACTATTACACTCTATTGTATAAGTATTTGCTAAATATACCATGTAAGGTTTTTTTTTTATATCAGATGAAAAGAAAAGATGAATTTAATATTTTAATTTAGGCAAATGAGTCAAAGGCACTTTAATTTGTGCATTTTTTAGCACACAGTTTAAGTGCTTACACAATAAAAACATTAAAAGGTATAGAAATGCTAGTTGACAGACCAAAACACATATGTTTCTGTTGTCTACATTCATAAAAAACATATAAATGTTTTAAGATAAATTAGTTTAATCTGTTTCTTAAAGTAACACATTTAAAAACAGAGTAAGTTCTATCACTGCATGATATTTTAGCACCAGCATTTTTTATCTCATATAAAAATAAAGGTTGCCAGATCTACTTAAACTTAAAAATTACAGTTTGAAAAAATTCATACCAATCTGACAACAAATTGTTCCAATCTCACCACAATTAAGCAATAAAAGTTTTAAGTTTTTAAGTCTGACAGTGTAAATTGAGTATAATGTTTTGGGGCTTTCTCTGGATTACCTTTGAGTTTGTTGTTAACATCCTCTTCAATTTGTCATATCCAGAGTTGCGTGCAGACTGATGTGTGATGGTTTCTCCCTATCTCTCTCTCCTCACTGGGAGTGGCAGACAGGTGATACTTTCAAAACCAATGCCAGTTAAGGTTCATCTGTCTGTCACCAGTAGGAATCCAACTCTACTTGAGATTCTACAATCCTTATCTTTCTAATCTACTTCTTCTTCTACCATTCACTCCTTGAAGCCAGAAAGCAAAAATAGAATCATCTTTAAATATTTCAAACTGCTATACTTTCCTCTATTGTCTGTACCTGTTACCCACAAAATAGTCTACAAAAGCTGAACTTCAGACAAGACTTCAAAGAAACAAGAAACACTCCCTCTTGTTCTGCTCTGATTGTTTTTTTCAAAACTATTACTGTATGTTCCAACTCTTTTACCTACCCCTCATACTCCTGGGCGGGGTAGGTGGCACTACATGTCATGGTTGGGTAGTCTACCAGAGGCCTAGGCGTTGAGGTTTATTTGAAATAGCTTTGCCTAGTACTCTAGTGGACTGAGATGGATGATGTATCCCCAGGTATCTAATGGAGCCACTTGTCCACTGTGGAGGTTACTACCCCTAGTGTTCTGATGATAATGGGCACTACAGTGGCCTTTGAACAATGTTCATTTAACAAGATCGGTACTTTTATTTCTAACCTCCATGCTCTAACTGTAGCACTCATCAGTCTCCCCTCACCACTTTGCTGTTTCCCCTCCCCTCTTGTCACCGGCTCAGCATGCAGGCTTTCCACACAAAGAGGGGCAATCACGAACAAGCTGTGGGTCTAGATACGGCCGAGGTGGTGAGGAAGTGGGGGCGAGTTTGTGCGACAACAGAGGGAAAATGGAGCGAAAAAGAGCGGTGGAAAAAGAGTCCCAGCGTTCTTGTGCACCTCGCTCTTCTATCTGGTCCAACTTCACAAGTAATTTTCCGCAATGGCGGTCATACAAACAGCACAAGCTGGTAAGGTACCAAACAATTTGACCAATCAGAGGCCTCCTCTCTGCGGCACTGTCTGCGAGTACCTCCATATTTAGAGAGGTGCACCAGAGAGTCTGCGGAAGGGGCGGGGGCATATCTGCGTTCACTGCGAAACACACGCAGACGACCTGGTTTCTGAGTGTATATCAGCCTTAAAACCTAGAGAGCTACTGGAGTGGCTGCCATCTCCTACAGCACCGGAACTAAATCTCTTAAAGGTGTTGCTGAAAAAGAACTTACCTCAACACAACTGGCTGATGACACTACCCTGTTCTTAAAGGACAAGAAACAAATTTCAGTAGAGATCCAAGTCATAAATAATTTCTTGAAAGCTTCTGGTCTGCATTTGAATCTTAAACAGTGTGATATTATAGCAGTTAGAGATTATTTAAAGGACTGAGACATCATTTGAAGGCATTCCAGTTAAGAATATGGTTATTTATTTAGGTATAACCATAACAAATCAACAAAAAATTCGAAGCTCATTAAATTTTGATCCTTTTAATTTTTTTTATTTTACTAAGCAAGACTAAAGGCATATCTTGGCTCACTTATGTGGCTCAGGCTTTAGATCTTGATAAAAGCGCTAAAAGAGAAATTGACAGATTGCTCTTTAACTTTGTTTGGAAGAATAGAACCCATTACATTTGCAAATCTATTTTAAGTAACTCATGAAAATTGAGGACTTAACTGCTTGTCTTTCTCTGCCTTATATACCACTTTTAAATTGGATCTGACAGTTTTTTGCATCTCAGACTTCTATGTGAAATACTATCCCTCATCTCATTTTTTCTAAACTTGGGGGTTTCATCTTTTTATTGGCTTGTAATTTTGATGTACAAAAACATCCTATCAAACTTATTTTCACTGCTGGGCTTTTCTGTCATGGTCACTTATTTAAAAGCACAACTTTTTACCTCACCAATATTTCATTTGAAACGATAAGGACACCCAGTACAGGAAAATAACATTGTTTTTGGATTCATGGTTCAGTCATTAAATTATTCTGGTTGATCAATTGTTCGACAACACTGCATTTTATGGAATTATGAATGGTTTATCTCTAAATTCAACCTTTTTATTTCTTCTGGGGAATACACAAAGGTTATTGTTGCTATTTCAACTGGGATTTGCATGTTATTCAGACAGAGGCCAAGACTCAATTAGTCTTCATCTCCTTGTCTGACTTCCATGGACTCTCCTGTTGGCAAAATATGTCTCACCTGATCTCTTCATAATAACAAGAAATCAATCAGATCCCTCTTTCAGAGAGAACTTGCATCTACTCCTGCTGCTGTACCATACTGGAACTGCGTTGTGACTGATGGGTCCTGGAAACACACTTGGCTGTTGCCTAATCACTTTCCGCTCACGAAAAAGGTGAAGGGAGTTTCATACAAACTCATCTATCCTGACAAACACTAGATCAAAAAATTTAAATTCTGATGTTACTGCGAATTGCACCTTTCGTGATCTGTTATGCATCTGTTTGTTCACGTGATTTTGCGGCTGCTGGCTGGCTTGATTGCTCTTTTCATTCACATGTCTAACTCTGCCCTTCTTATTACTGCTCTCCTGATCCACCTGCTCCTGCTTCTAAACTCCTTGGTTCCAGCCATCAGTGCCAGATTATTCTTGAGTCTTTAGTGTAGAGAGTAAACAAGTATTACTTATAGTGTTCTGTTTGTCTGATCCTGACCCATTTTGTATTTGAACCTTTGAGCCTGTCTGCCCATGTCTGGTGTGTTTCCCTGACCTGTCTGTGGATATCTGCTGGATTCTTCTTGTGGACTGAACCTAGATCTGCCTACTGAGTTCACCCTGTGGATTATCCTGCCTTCCTTCATCTGCTTGGATCTGACCTCCTGCCAGTTCTGCAGTCTTCTTGGCTTCAGCATCTGGAACTCATTGGCACCATCCGCTGTGTCTTGTCAGCCAACCACCAGAAGAGCTCGGAGCCAGCCCCCACGTCAGAGGACGAAGAGAGCACATCCAGCCAGTCACAGTCAGAGAAACAGGACTATACTAAAAAACAGGCCAACCTCGAACATCTATAAACAAAGGTGTTGATGGCAGCAGCACAGCTGATATTTCTCCCCAGGATGGTGTCACAGCTGAACAGGAGCAGACCGGATGAAGCTACTATGACAAAATGCAGAGAGAGCGTTAGAGATTGAACTAACAAATTCTGCAGCATGGGAGAATAGGTATAGCATGAAGCACAATTGTAAAAAAAGGGGTCCCTATGTCCTCCAGTAGTCTAAGCCTATAGCAGCATAACTACACAGATGGCACAAGATAACCTGAGCCACTCTATCTATAATCTTTGTCAAAAAGGAAAGTTTTAAGCCTACATTTAAAAGTAGACAGGTTGTCTGCCTCATGGACTAAAACTGATACTTGGTTCCACAGGAGAGGAGCCTGATAACTAAAAGATCATTCTACTTTTAGAAATTGTAGGAAGCACCAGTAAACCTGCAGATGGAGGATGTAGTGCTCTGTTAGGAACAAAAGCAACAATCATATCTCAAAATTAAATTCAAATGTCCAAAGAAAAAGCCAGACTATATACGTATATATATTAGTATTTTTGTACTATTTGATCCTCCACTCACCAATCATAGCATTTAAAAATGAAAATAAATATAGTTACTTTATCATTAAATAAAATGTCTATCACCAATGCTAAAAGACTATGCTTTTGTCAACGTTCATATCTTTAGTTTTGATGATCCAAATATTATTGAATAGCTAAAGCAATATTAATTTATGCTGTAAACAAAAAACAACAAGAACAGATTCTCAAAATGACAACTCTTGTAGGTGAAAGAATCAAAACATACATTCCTGGCGCAGCTGCTAGATTAAGAGGAGTAATTACAGGAGTCCCACTTGACATGACAGTGGATGATGTCAAACAAGAAATTAAAGGACGAAAAGTTATTGATGCAACAAGGATTAAACACAAAAGAGATGGAGTTGTTAAAGACATCATGGCAATAATATTGCAGTTTGAAGATTTTGTTGCAGAATCTGTGCAGATTGGCTACATAAACTTCAGGATAAGAGAATACATTCCCAATCCATTAAGGTGTTTTGTTTGTCAAAGAATGGGACAAGTGGCAAAGGAGTGCAAAGGGAAAATAAGGAGTGCAAGATGTGGAGGTTCACATGAATATGGAAATTCCGTAAAAATTCAAAAAAATATCCACTGGACTTGGTTTTCAAGATTTGAAGACGTTTCGCCACCTCTCCAGGAAGCTTTCTCAATTCAAATGTCTGGATCCGCAGGGAGTTTGAGTCTTATATAGACAAAGCCTTGTATCGCTTGGAAACATGCAAATTTGCATTCCCTTTGCATGTTTCCAAGCTTGTTTCGATACAAGGCTTTGTCTATATAAGACTCAAACTCACATAGCCTTCAGAGTTAAGCTGGAAATTATCAAGAAAATTATTTAAAAAAAAATTGTCCTACATATTCTACCATGAAATGCTAGAAGTCTCTTAGTAAATGGTCAAGAATTGATAATGAAATGCAAATGAAGTAGAAACAGCTCCAGGTGTTATATGTGTTCAGGATACTTGGTTAAGACCATCTTTAGATTTAAAAATTCACGGTTATAGTTCAGTCAGAAGTGATAGAAGGGATAGAAGTAACAACAATAATAGAGGAGGCTGTGCAACATTGATTAAAGATGGACTGATATAAAAAGGAAATCATGTGCATGGAGAGTATGAATGTGTCAATGTAGAAATGTTTAACTTAGAAAATATTGGAAATATTAGAATTCTCCCTTATAATAGTCCATGTAAAGATATAGAAGGTGAGGTTTAAAAAAAAAAAATTCAGGATCAATAACATGAAGAGAAATTTAGTGTGGTGACGTCAATGCACATACAGCCAGTACATAGTAAAATAATTGAAGAAATTAAGGATGAAAGGTCACTGGTGTTCCTTAAAAACAGACAGGGAACAAGAACTGACAAATATAAAGGTACTTTGTCATGCCTTGATTTAACTTTAGTATCTAGTTCGATCGTTAGTTCTTGTGAGTGGAGTGTGAGGGGAGAATCCACAATAGGAAGGGATAATTTTCCACTTAGCACAACCATTAAAGATAAG